CTCATCCAGGTGGAGGAGAGACTCCAGTTAGCATGGCTCTGCCGAAGAAGAGCTCTCTGCAAGAGGTTCCACTGAGTCATGAAATAGTTATTCACTATTCACACCTGGTTCCTGGTCTTGGAATGAATCAGATACAGCTCCCCCTGGGGGGTTCTCACATTCCAGTGAAAGATGAAATGACCTGGAAATTATTAGCTCCAGAGAAAGTCCAACAACTTAAAAAAAGAAACAGAAAAAAAACCTGTCCTGGATTGTGCAGCTATTAAGTGACAGAGCTGAGATTCAAACCCAAGTATATTTGACCTTAAAATCTATGGTCTTTTTACCAAGTCATGATCCTCAGTTGATGCTGGGGGCTGGGGATACAGAGATGCTGGACGCGGGATCCTGCTTGCAAGGAGCTCAGGTTCTAATGGAGGAGGGGTGTGTGTGAGCCCAGACATCATCAGGGTGGGAAGGGCTCTACCAGGATCCACTAAGGGCCCAGGGAGCACAAAGGAAGAAATGTGTTAAAATATGCTCTCCTCAAAGGCTAGGGTCATGTCTGTGTGTTTACTGCTGTATCCTGGACCCATCACAGGGCCTGACACAATTTAATCTTCAATGAATGTTTCATGAATGAATGAATGAGGAACAGACCAAGTGCCTAGGACAGAGGCAAGGTTAATCAAGGAAGACTTGGCAGAGGAGTTCATATATCCGTGGGTCTTGAAGGTTGAGTTAGGAGCTTGCCAGATGAAAAGAGGAAAGAAAGGCATTCCAGGCATATGCAAAGGAATAACAGGGTGGAATAACAGACTCAACCTCTTTTTTATTACAACCCACAACACACACACACACACACACACACACACACAATATACATGCAGTACAGACACAGACACATGCCCAAATGGAATCTTAGTATGTACAATATCCTCTGTTGTTTTCTGGTCTATTTCTGTTTTGCAAATGTTAGTGGCAACCCACTAATTTTTGTGATACAGGCGCAGGGGATTTGGGAAAAGTGGAGGCTGGCAACTAATTTGGAGGCAGACTGTAAAGATCTTTGCATGCTAGGGGGATGAGTTTGGATGCTTTTCCGTCCTTGCCTTCTCGGCCAGGTCTGACCCTGCAGACTCTTTGCTCCTTCTCTAGCTCTTTGGGTAATTTCCTGCCGCCTCAGCTAGTCTTCTTGAGTTGCTTCTCACTGCTTTTTTCCCCCAGCTGGTTCTTTACATCATGCTGAGCTCCCAGGGTCTGTGAGCTGGGCTCTCCCCACTTGATCACCTTGGTCTCCCATGGCATCTCTGCTACATCAAACTGGCACCTCCAAAACCAAGATCATTGCCCTCAGACCCACTCCTCCCCCATCCCCTGTCCATGTTGTCCTCACCAGCCACACTATCTCACAGAACAGAATCCTGTCCTTGGAGCCTCTTCATCCTGTCTATTCTACCTTCCACCCAGCTCACAAGTCCATCTGCTTCTCTCCTTGCCATCTGCAACCACCGTTGTCTGGGCTGGGCCTTTTATATCCTGAATAACTGTAGACACCTCCTGCCCTTGTCTCTTGCCCCCTACTGATCCCCCACAACAGCCCTCATGAGCCTTCTGAAATATACATCTGATTGTGTGACCTCTGCTTCCCTTTATGATAAAGCCCAAACATGTAAATATGCCCTAAATGTATCCCCAGACTTCCTGTCCGGTCTCATCTCTGCAATCCTCCCTGACTCCCAAGCCCCCTAACACTCCATTCTCCAGGCCCCTCAGACCTCCATGGGTCCAGCTTCCTCTGGCTTTAAAACTACTTAGTGATGCCAACTCTTTCTTTCTGGAGCCCAGTTTAGGAACACCTCCTCCAAAAAGTCTTCCCTGACCCACCCAGTCTTCCCTGGGCCCCTTCTCTGTATTCTCACTGTCCTCTGTGCATCTCCCATCTTGATGCCAAACACCTCCTTTTCTACTGCAGTGGTCCAAGTCTCTCTGCATCAGATAGGTGGCATATTTGAAGGATTAAGAGCAGAAGTTAAAGCCATGGTTCAGCCATGGTTCCCTAGGTTCAAATCCCAGCTCTGCCGTGTACTAGCTGTAGGAGTTTGAGACTTTATTTAACCCCTCCCTGATTCACTTTCCCTGTGCTATGAAATGATAATTCAGATAATAATAATAATTAACGAGAAGAATGTAGTACCTATCTCATGTATTGTTAAAGGATTACATGAGTTAATATGCTGATGTTCTTAGTGATAATGCCTGGCACATCATATGTGCTCCCCACCTAACTGATAATTAAATCAGTCCTCAGACTAGTTGCTCCAGGCAGGCAGACACTGGATTTATTTGATCCACTGCAATGTCCCTAGCACAAGACCCAGTGTCCTGGTCATGATTGTCCCCCAACATTTGTGACATGAATGAATCTTTTGTCTAAGAGAATGGCAATGCATGTGGGAAAGAAAGGGCACATTTTAGTGATGCTTTGGAGGTAGACTGCTCAGGGCTCAGCACTGACTTCATCTGCGGGTGAGAGAGGAGGAGGAGAAATACAGGGGGAAGGACATGGCTAGGACAGACTTTACGGCTTTTCTTTCCAAACCTGTGTCTGCTCCAATCCTGCTCCCCCAGCCACCATTCGTTGAAACCTCCATTCACGCAGACTCCCGAGAGCACAGGGGTTGCCACCATTCCTGTCTCCTCCACCTGTCCCCTTCCCTTCTCTGTCGGGTCCTTCCAAGTCTTGTCCATCCCTAGTGTCCCAGGCCAGCATCCTGCCTCCTCTCTGCACACTACTTCCACCTGGTTGTTCTAGGTCCATTGCTGTGTAACAAGGGATCCCAGAACACAGTGGCAGAAACAATCATTTCATTATACCCCCAAGTTAGGGAGCTTGGAAATTTGGACAGGGCATGCTGGGGGTGACTACAGAAGCCTCTGTCTGCATGGCCTCAGCTGGGAAGACTCAAAGACAGGGATGACTTGATGGCTGAGGGCTGGGATTGTCTGGGGGCTCCTGCACCCCCAGGTCTGGCACCTGGGAGGGGGTAATTCCAATGTTGAACTCACAGGGTCTGTGGACTGGGACACCTACACAGCCTCTACACACGCCTGGGCTTCCTCACAGCATGGCGGCCAGCAGACTCCTCCCATGGTGCCCTAGGGCTCTAGCAGCAGGGGTCCTGCAACAAGGTGGAAGCTGCACTGCCTTTTTTCCCTAGCTTTGCACGACTTACAGTACCACTTCTGCCACACCTCACTGGCTGAAGTCCTCACAAGTCTGTCCAGATTCAAGCAGGGAGAGCACAGTAAACCCACCTCCTAATGGGAGGCATGTTGAGTAATTTTGAGGCCATATTTTAAAACTGCTACTTGAATGGAAATACTAATGTCTCATACATGGACTCATGGGGTAGTCCCCTCTCTGGTCTGCCTGGCTCTACTTGCCCAGCACTTCCCCCGCCCCCCCACCATGCCCAAGTGAATTCTCCACCGGGCAGCCAAGGGGAGCTTTGAACGCACAAATCAAAAGATCCACCCTTTCCTCATATCCCTCCAGTGTCTTCCACTAAATCTAAGCTCCTTGATATGCCCACACAGCTCTGTGGGGTCTGTGTACCACCATCTCCTCCCTTACACCTCACTGGCCTTTCTCTTTCTTGAACACACCCTCATGTCCTTTCCTGGAGCTCATGCCCACCTCCAAGCTTCGCTCTGCTGCTCTCCTTCGTGACATGCTGACATCCCAGATCCTGCGTCCTTCAGGTCTTGGCTGGAAATGCCACTTCCTCAGACCTAAAATAAACCCCCAGCACCCAATACCATCTCTCCCATCACTGTGTTTTATTTTCCTCACTTGTTGCTGCTATGTCTGAAGTTACATATTTGTTTACCTCTGTTCTCTCTCCCTCACTAGCTCCAAGAGAGGACTCCAGTCCTTCCTATTCCTTATATCCATAGAGCCCACCTTGGTGCCTAGCAGACATTTGTGGAATGTGAATAAATGCAGGAGCAGTGGTTTTTCAGGGAATGCGTGTGTGATTTAGAAAGGCAATTCTGAAGGACAGGCAGGCCTCGAGTGGTGGGGTTGGGTTATTAGAGTCAGTCATGCCTTGTTTCCAATCCTGCTCTGCCACTCATTAGCTGGTGACTTTGGGAAAACACCTTCGGAGCCCTGAGCCCCCATTTCTTCAGCTGAAACCTGAGTCCAGCAGCCCCTGGGTCACTGGACTGGGGTGTATATCACAGGAGGGATCAGCACTTCAGGTCGCCGGCGATGCTCAGAGCACCCTGTCTCGGCGAACTAGGCCGAGATGCACCACCCACTGTGCCCGCCAGGTGTCGCCGCGAGCGCGCGCCGAGCGGCCAGCTGCGCTTGGAGCCCTCGAGTGGCTCACGAGTCCCACATCTCGGTCTCGTGCGGGGCACCCACGCCTCAGCCAGACTCGGAGTGTCCACTAGGACCGGGATTCTAGAGGAAGCCAACCCAGCTGGATACCCACTTCGAAAAGACAGGGATCGGGGAGAAAGATGCTGAGCCAGTTAATCCCTGGTCTGCCAGCAGCCTTGCGGAAGGGGGCGCCCTTCCCTGAGGCTGGGATTCGGAAGTCCGGGGAAAGGGGTACCAGGTGCTACCCAACACCCCCCAGCTCTGTTCGCTCGGCGGGGCGGGGGGACGTGGGGGCAGGCCAGGCAGCGAGGGCTCTCGGCCGAGCCTCGATTCCCACACCCCGAGGGCAGTCTTTGAGCGCACTCTCGGCCCGCAACTTGCGAGTTAGCGACGGGGTTGGGGGATGAGCGGACTCCTACAGTCCCCCACTTTGGCTCCGCGTCCGGGAGCCGGGAGGGGGCGCCACGGGAGCGCGGGGGGCAAGGCGCGAGCGAGCGCTGGGAGCAGGCGGCTCTGTCCCGCGGGCGCGGGGGTGCGGGGCGGGCGCTCCGGGGAGGCGGGCGGGGAGGGACAGGAGAAAGGACAGAGGGAGGGGCGGGGGCGGGCGGCTGCAGCGCCCCCGCGCTCCCCGCGTTTCCCACACTTGCACCGGCCGCTCGCGCGCAGCCCGGCGTCGCCCCGCGCCGCGCTCGCTCCTCCCTCCCTCCTCCCGCTCTGTGGCTCCCGCGCTCCCGGCGAGGCTCAGGCGCCGAGCGCGCGGACGGGCGCACGGACAGACGGCCCCGGGGACGCCTCGGCCCGCGCCTCCCGGGCGGGCTATGTTGATTGCCCCGCCGGGGCCGGCCCGCGGGATCAGCAGAGCCCGGCCCGCGGCCCCGGTGGCCAGCGGGGACTATGAATCGGAAAGCGCGGCGCTGCCTGGGCCACCTCTTTCTCAGCCTGGGCATGGTCTACCTCCGGATCGGGTAAGGGCCGCTCGCACCCCCTGCACGCGTGTCCCGACAAAGTTGGCGTGGCTCGGGGATGGGTGCGCCGCCCGCGAGCCGCCGCCAGCCACCAACTTCTTCAGCCTTTCAGAGAGGCTGGGTGGGCGCGGTGCGGGAGCGGTGGGCGC